AGCGCAACATCGTCGTCTGCGATTGAGATGGGCCCGGACTGTACGACGTTGGCAACGACGTGACTAGCAGAGGGTTGTCTTCACTGACGAAAGTCGATTCTGTATGTTTAGGGCTGATGGAAGACAACGAGTTTACCGCCGAAGGGGTGAACTAACGGTGGCGTGTTGCGTGCAGGAGGTCGTACCATATGGTGGAGGGAGTGTCATGGTGTGGGGAGGGATCTGTGGGCAGGAGAGGACACCGCTGGTCATCGTTGACGGAAACTTGACAGCTCAGCGTTACATGGATAACATTCTTCGTCCAGTTGTCCTACCATTTCTCCAACACTAGAGCCCATACAGCCAGAATTGTCACTAACTTCCTCGCAGCCAACAACGTCAACGTCCTGCCGTGGCATGCACGCTCACCCGACGTGTCCCCCATAGAACACCTCTGGGACTTGATGGATCGTCGTGTTCGACAACGACCACACTCTCCAGCCAACCGGCAAGAACTGATCTTGGCCCTCCAAGAAGAATGGCGTCAAATCCCACGTGACCTCATCAGACGACTGACGTTTTCAGTGCGGCGAAGAGTTTTTGCGTGTATTGAGGCATTTGGTGGTCACACACGCTACTAATGACTTGTTATTGAACGTGAGCGATTGTTTATGTACTCTGCCTATTGTCTATGATTCTGAAAGCTCGAGTTTTGTACCACACCCAACTTTAGGGGTATGATCATTCGCGATATGATTGTCATTTTCAGTGTTGATTATGTTGATATATTGATCTTCTCAATACACTTGACTTCATGCCTGTATGTTTTGTTGTTTTTGAGCAAGAGTGATTTCAAACTCTGGTAAAGCTTCTTTTGGACGTCAGTTTATGTATTCAAGCTTATTCACATATTGAAAGTGTTTTAGTAACTTTGATTTTCACGCAGCGGGATGATAATATTATTAGGTAGACATTTCTCATGTATTTATTGGCACCTTATTAATTGTACATATTTAGTAAGTATATTAATTATTAACGGTACCTTTAGGTAGCTTATGTTCTGCCTTTAGTTTGATATCTATATCTCTCATATTGATCTAGAAGTTAGTTTGCATTCGTATTTTCCCTACTTTAGAAAGCACAGCTGTATTCACTGCCTAGGGCATATGGTTTTCCTTACACACGAACGTTGGTTGTCGTCACTAAGGTCCGCGCGTCTCGTTTATGAACCCCGGCGTTACCGTGTGTAACCATTACCATGAATCGTTAGAGTTTGACGGGTCGCTGTGTCGCTCGGCTACTGTGTGATCAGGTTTCGCTAGTAGGTATTTATGGGGCAGTGTTCATCATATTGTGTCTTATTGTGTCTGGTGTTGCTGTGCTAAACCTATTGGCTAGGGTATTTTTGTATACCCCCCGCCCCTTTTTCCAGTAAAACGTGAATAACTTATTTATGTTGGGATGTCTAGGTTAAGTGAAGTAACTGTTTATTGTTTTATATCAGGAACTCCTGCAGGTCAAGCAGCTGTCTATTCCGGAAGATTAGTATTTCCAAGCGACTTTAGTCTACAGGGCTAAATTTATATTTATTCGTATCCGACTAACCTTAGTGTCAAAGACATATATTTTAGGGATAGACCTTCAGTGTCCATTTCTCCTATCTGGTTAAGTCGAGGTTATTCAGTTATGACAGAGTATTGTGTTAATTAGCTCCCAAATGTTGATTAGTCACAGCCGACTAACTTGGCAGTCTGTGTCTTGTCGATTTTCTTTTCAGAGTGTAATTTTAGTTATCCTTTTGTAATCGCTAATTTTGTAATTTTGTAATCGTTAGTTAACAAACTTGTGTATATGTTCATCATTGATTTATCAGTGATCACTGCCTGTGACAATTCGAATCTTTTCGCTGTATATTACCTCTTTAAATACGTCTTGCTGATAAAAATACAACTGTAAACGTGTACCACTTTGTCTATTATTCGTTTATTTACTTTTATTATAACCATAGTCCCAGGAGCCCAACCCCATGGCAGCAGAGAAAGACACAGATACCATGACGTCTGTGGATGAAGAAGATACTAACGAAATCCGCCATTCGCCTCGAACTAGAAAAGTCCTGTACGGCGTTAACGATACACCGGGGCCATGCTTGTTGCCGTTGTTTGCCCTTCAGGTAGGTAGACTCCTTTCTGTCAACCATATTACATTCCTTGCCACAGAGATACGAGTAGGAACAGGTAATACAGTTACGTTTGATACAAATAGTGAATGAGAATGGTTTTACGTCGCTTTAAGCAATACTCCAGCACCACCACGACGGGGGACACCAGCTTCACACATTGTGCCCATGTGGGGAATAGAACCCGGGCCTTCGGCCTGTCGAGCGAACACTTTAACCACTGGGCTACCCCTCCGCCCTTGAAATAAATATGTGACTAGCGCGTATTTCACATATTTATTTCAGGGGCGGAGGGGTAGCCATGTGTCGGTGGGGTTTTATGAACTGAATTTCACTTTGTGTGAGTTCATTGGAGTATGAACCTTCATAGAGTGAGGGATGAGTGAGCTTGCTCCGACGTTCGTACAACAATGTTTGGCCCTCACTCTTTGAAGGTTCATACTCCAATGAACTCACACAAAATGAAAGTCAATTCTTATAATTTTTTTAATCACTATTTTTACCTCGGAGGATGTAGAATTAGATGTATGCACAGTTTTATTTATGTATATTAGTACGTGTATCTTCATGTTTACACTGACAGCCACACAACAGCCAGCTGTATCGCTGAATGAAGTAGTTCCTCAAAAAGAAAAGTGTTATGAGCGTATGTATGCTCACAGTCTTATATAGTGACATCTTTGTAGTTTGTTTACAACAAATATATTGTAATAATTTCATCATAAGTAGAGCAAAGTCTGTTAAGAACTACCTCAGTCACAACGACAGCGCGTCGTAATACATTTACATCAAGTACAAGACGTCAAAATGGCTGACGCGATAAACGGGACGGGGAAGTTGTAAATGTACCTGTCGCGACTACACGCGTCAGTCATTATTGTTGAGTTGGTCGAGCATCGAAGGGTTATTGAAAAGATGTGTCAAATAGATACTAAGGTAAATGCATAGATTGCTGAAGACTGTCACTCTCAGTTTTGTCACGGATCGGGCGGATCGAGTCGATACAATTGTTTGGATGTGCATTTCTTCGTTTTGTTCACCAGGATGGGTCACAGCGAGAGAATTCGTGCACGATCTTGCAGTCAAACTCTCCTCATTTTCTCAAAGTATGCTTAAACGCAGTGTTCAAGACTGAAGGGTCTAAATGATCAGAAACAACGATTCTGTATGTATCCGTGCTAGGCAATCCCAAAGATTTTTCCCGAAGGAGTGTGGAAGTAGTCCGTCAGTGTTTACGTCATTTCAAGAATGCAGTTTCGTGGAAAACTATGAACGTCAAATTGTGTCCTTCACAAAATTTTGAACGTGAGTTTCGCCGTCATGTTATCGACAAATCGTCCATAGAGAAGCGGTATATTGTGTTATCTTCACATTACAAAATAATAATCAAATAAACAGCCATGTTGCAGTTGGAAGTCGAATGGTTCATATGCATGATAGTCATTTATGTCTTCAGGACATTTCCTACATTGAATAACGAGCATAACTGACAACATAATTCCAAACGTTCATTCTTTGTACAATATGTGCATTTCTGTCAAGCAGTGTTAATAATGATTGACAAACATCAATAATTAACGTACCTGTTTCGTTCGAGTTTAATTCATAACATTCGAGGGATAAGTGCTGCCGTGTGTCCACATTGTTCATACAAGGTATTTTGACACACATTTCTATTTCCTCTCGAATATAGCATGGCTGGCTACTCGCTCAATGCGTAGTCGAAACGGTGATCTCGTTGTATCGGGCGCCGTAAGTTGCTGTGCAGAGCTAGAGTTCTGTCCCTTAGGCGTGCCAGATACGTGTCATTGTTGGCTCGAATCTAAGGGTACCTTTGATTACATTATGGTTCTTTGTCAGCATAATGCCCATTCCATCAAAGTGGTAAACTTCAACGACCTGGTGTCATCACTGATTTTCACCACTATCTTGTCTTTTATGCTCAGTGGAATCGGTTTTGGCAGATGCTCAATCTCGAATATTGCCTGGCGTTGACATTTATATTTACCACATAAAGCCCTGATTAATGCTGTTCAAAATGGCGTTACATCAAACTCGCTCGATCCACAGGCATAGGTTCAGCTGAGCAGGACAACAAACATACAAACAAATACGAAATAACAGTTAAGAAAAGATACCTCGTGTGTATTTGGTCAAATTATGCTACAAGAATCTCCAAAATACATACCGCCAATGAAGCCCCGATTTTAAAAACAGACCCATGTATGGCAATAGATGTGTGAAATCATCTTATATTTTATTCAGCAAATGGTGACGAGTATTGGTGGAGTAATATCAATTCCCTTGCTTATTACCGCTGTCATTTGCACGAATGAACTTCCGGAAGTAAAGTCTCGGATTCTAGGCATCTCGTTCTTTGTGTGCGGGATAGGAACCATTCTCCAGAACATCTTCGGCGTCAGGTACTGCCCATTATACACAGACCAGCAAAAAGTGTGCACATCACAAATTAAAGGATTAAGACAAGAACCAGTTCTCGTAATGTTGACATAAACATAGATTTGGGAAGTAAACAATTGTGATGGCATCCAGTACTGTTCAATAATTGTAACTTTGTAACAATTCAGTAACGACACAAATGAAAAGATATTTGGTTGTCATTGAATCTTATATGGTGAAATTCAAATGGAAAGCCATATTTATATAATCTGACTTTTGAAGTCTAACTGAAAGTGCTTAATAATGAATTTGGATATAAAACAGAACGCGTGTTAGTTGTGGGTGAAGAGAAATCTTCTTCAATGTAGGAAATCTTCAACATTCCAGATTACCAATAATCCAAGGGGCATCTCCAAATTTCCTGGCAGCAATTATCCCAATGATGGCGGCAGACAAGTGGAAGTGCCCAACTGAAGGTATCAGTATGTCTAAATATTGAAAGTAGATTTGCTTATACATGCTTACCCCTTTCGCGAACCCCTGGTGCCGTCAATGATTTTCAAATAAAATTCAAATTTGCCTTTTCTGTTTCGGCTGATATTCAAAACTGATTATTCTCTGGCGCTGGTGTGTTGTATGTATTTCAAAGACTGCTGGTTCATTATACAGTAAACTACGGTTATAATGAACTCAAAGGGACTACTAATTTTAGTTCGTTATAACGGTAGTTCGTTATAAGCATATATACAACATAACTACAGCAAATAGTCGGGACCAAAAAAGTAAGTTCGTTATATCCGTCAGTTCGTTATAAGCGTGTTCGTATCTCTGCCACGTGATTGTATCCTTTACCCATCATGTATCTCTGCCTCGTGATGTCTGGCTCGTGATTATACCTCTGTCACGTGTTTGTGGCATTGCCTTGTAACGGTATATATGCCGCGCGGTTATATCTCATAGTTATACTCAACAACAAAAGTTCCCGTGACACTAATATTTTAGTGTATTTTTGATATTTTTGGTTTTCAATATTGTAGTACATGTATGGAATCAAGTCACAAACACGCAACTGCTACAGAAAAGCATGCATTCCATGCAAAAGTTGACTTTTATGCAAGCCCCATGCATTTCACTACCCAAGAATGGGTATAAAAACATGTGCGTTAACGGGATTCCATATGCATTGTTTAGCATCGTGCTGACAACAACCACTCAGAAAAACAACAAAATTACGCAATAATACAACATTACGAAATGCTATGCCTGTCCGAAAATGAGCGTCTGCGAGCCACTGGTATGCTTGAGGCAGGATCGAATCAACGTGATGTTGCAAGACAATTTAATGTCCCCAGAAACACCATTTCGTGTTTATGGCAACGTTGGCAACAGACGACTGCAGCAACAGTGACTGCACGAAGCATCCTTGGCCTTCGACGAATATCTTCACAAACTGTACGTCGTCGCCTCAGATGTGCAGGGATTGTCGCCAGAAGACCCGCCAGACGTCCCATTTTGACAGGAAACCACCGTCAAGCACGTCTACAGTGGTGCAGACAGCGTCTACGCTGGACGGCCATGCATTCGGGACAAGTTCTATTCACTGACGAGTCTCGTTTTCATCTCAGCCACAGCGATGGACGGATTCGAGTGTACCGACGTCGAGGTGAACGTTACGTCAATCATTGTGTCATGGAAGAAGATCGGTTCGGGGGCGGCAGCGTTATGGTATAGGGTGGGATTACAGCAAGACAGAGGACCCGTTTGATACTGGTAGAGGGAGATCTCAATGGACAGCTCTACCGCGACGGGATCATCGGCCCTGTTGTTCCACCGTTTTTGCGTCGTCATGGCCCAGGCATTACCTTTCAACCTGACAATGCCCGTCCTCATATTGCTCGACTTGTTCAGGAATCTCTTCAACAAAACAACGTTAATGTCATTCCCTGGCCGGCTCATTCCCCTGTTCTCTCACCAATCGATCACATGTGGGATGAGATGGATCGACGCCTTCGACGTCAACCACGTTTTCAACAGACACTCCAGGAACTTCGAAACATGCTCCAGCAGATATGGACAGATATCCAACAGGACTTTGTGCGACGCCTGGTCCATTCCATGAGACGAAGATGTGCTGCTTGCATCACAACCAGAGGTGAACACACACGCTATTGATTTGTAAATTGACATTTTGGCATGTTCATGTTTTTTTATATGAAATCACGCATTTTCTAAAGTCAGTATGGCAAATTAAACCATTTGAACACTTACAGGAGTAAGGAGCAAACCGAAATTGTTTCAGAATTGGTAAAAAAACATAACTTTGCATTGAATCTTTTTCAATGTCGCAAGAACTTTTGTTGTTCAGTATATATCTCTGCTTCTGTCTCATCATGTAGTGTATCTCTGTCTCATCATGTCTCCCTCGCGATTGTATCTCTACCTTATGATTGTATCTCTGCCTTATGATTGTATCTCTGCCTCGGGATTTTAGCTCTACCTCGTAATTGCATTTCTGCTACGTGATTGTATTTCTGCCTCGGGATTTAAGCTCTACCTCGTAATTGCATTTCTGCTACGTGATTGTATTTCTGCCTCGTGACGGTATCTCTGCCTCGTGATGGTGTCTCTGTCTCGTTATGGTGTCTCTGCCTCGTGAGGGTTTCTCTGCGTCTTGAGGGTTTCTCTATTTCTCGATTGTATTCTTTCCTTGTTACTGTAACTCTGCCATGTGATTGTATCTCAGATTCGTGATTGTATCATTGCCTCGTAAAGGTATCTCTGCCCTGTGATTGTGTCTTTGCCACGTGATTGTGTCTCTGCCTCATAATTATGTCACTGCCTCGAGATTGTATCTCTGTCTCATCATGTCTCCCTCATAATTGCATCTCTACCTTATGATCGTATCTCTGTCTCATTATTGTGTCTTTGTCTCGTGATTTTTGTATCTCTGTCTCTTCACATATATCTCGTGATTGTATCTCGGTTTCGTACTTCTATCTCTTCCTTGTAATTGTATCACTGCTTCGTGGTTGTATCTCAGCTTTGTAATTGTATCTCTGCCTCATGATTGGATCCCTACCTCGTAATTGTATCTCTGCCTCGTGATTGGATCCCTGCCTCGTAATTGTATCTCTGTCACGTGATTGTATCTCTGCCTCGTGATTGTATCTCTGTTATGTGATTGTATCTCTGCTACGTGATTGTATCGCTGCCTCGTGATGGTATCTCTGTCACGTGATTGTATCTCTGCCTTGTAATTGTATCTCTGCCTTGTGATTGTATCTCTGCCTCGTGATGGTATCTCTGTCACGTGATTGTATCTCTGCCTTGTGATGGTATCTCTGTCACGTGATTGTATCTCTGCCTTGTGACAGTCTCCTTTTCTCGTGCCGGTTTCTCTGCCACGTGATTGAATATGTCTCATCGTTTCTGCCTCGTGATGGTACCACCTGTTTGTATTCAAGCCATATACGTGATCCTATTCGCTTCCTGCAGTTCCTACATCTCTCACAATCAATGGGACGTATGATCTGCCGTGGGTAGTGCGAGTGCGAGAGGTAAGATGTCTTCCGAAAATAATCAAAATGTCAAATATGTCCTAAAAAAACTATGCAGCAGTATATTCTATTAATTTTGTCAATACCATGTTCACATTCATACTATTGTTACATGTATATATAATAATTGCAATGATTAATGTCGTCTGATCAGTAATAATTTCATCATATTTTCTTGTAGATTCAGGGTAACATAATGCTGGCATCTCTGACACAGATTGTGTTAGGGGGGACGGGTGTTGTGGGTTTACTGCTGAGATTCATAGGGCCGCTCACAATCGCTCCGACTATTGCACTGGTTGGTCTGTCCCTCGCCTCGCTTGCGGGAGCGTTATGCAAGGACCAATGGGGCATCAGCACAGGGTAGGACAATTCTAGAAGACAATTGCACTTGCCTCATGTCTGATACCATCATTTTAACCTTCACTGAACATATCTCCACAGTGACGCATGTTGTTATTCTCGAGATAATCCATTCTTGAGCAATTTACGAAGTCAGACTATGTATAATGGCTTTCCCAAGTATTATATATAACTCTTAACGCCACTTTAATTTCACAGCCATTTAAATGTAATATTTTACCTCACTTTTGGCCGCGTCAGAATATTAAATGACAACTTCAAGAATGTCAGTGTATCTTACAAGAAATTAACTTCCGTAGTTTTTGTTCACCATATAACTTTTGTATCAGTACATTATATCACCATTTGTCATTTCAACTGACAGCACAGTGCTCCTTGTGGTGTGCTTCGCGCTGTTCCTTGGGAAATACCAACTTCCAGTTCCAGTATATACAAGACAGAAACGGTGCCACATCAACCGTTATCCCTTCTTTCAGCTCATACCTGTAAGTGAATAGTTGATTTTTCAGGATGTAACACAACGTGCAGTGTTTCTTTCAATCCGGAAATATTTTCTTCTATCAGATGATAGTAATATCTCCGGATTTTATTTGAAATATGAAGAGGAACATATAACAGAAATATCCCAAGCAATGAAAAGGACAAACCATCTGTCAATATGATGGACATGAAATCTCTTTTGAAGGTCCTCCTGTCAATTGTCATCATGTGCATCCTCTGCTTCGTGCTTACACAATCGGACGTGTTCCCAACCAACAGCACAGATCCTGGTTTCCAGGCCAGGACCGATTCGAGACTCCACGTTGTGAAGGACGCTCCTTGGTTTTACTTCCCATATCCAGGTATATCCCATATCTTTGAAGAAGTAGCAGATTGAATGGTTTGCAAATTGAATCTAGGTTATCAAAATGTCAGCCATCAGAATATAGTAGGTGAGTTGGGTTTTACGGCGCTTTTAGCAATATTACATATTTTACCCATTGGGGAATCGAATGTGAGGTTTCGGAGTGATGAGTCAACGTTTAAACTACATTCATTCCCTCACTTCGTGTTGCAGGGCACTTGGGTCGGCCCACTATCAGTGCTGCCGGGTATGTTGGGATGTTGGCAGCTACCATCGCCTCCATCATAGAGTCTGTCGGGGACTACTTTGCTGCTGCCCGTGCCAGCGCCGCACCTCCTCCCCCATCGCATGCTGTAAATCGGGGGATTGTGATGGAAGGCCTTGGAAGTCTCATAGCCGGTAGTGTAGGTGCTGTGCATGGTATAACATCCTACAGTGAAAACGTTGGAGCTTTAGTCATAACCAAGGTTTGTGGATCTAAATAAAAAAAACACCCCACCCACCCCCAAAAATATTTTAAATGAATTAGATTTTATGATGAATGCAATGATGGGCGAAACACATTCGACATTGACTCCTGTGGGAAACATCTGTATCCCTGGAAACGTAACAGGTAAACTTCCATTCCACTTGATTATTCCTACTGGACACTGGGGAAACGAACCCGGGTCGTCGGCGTGACGAGCGAACGTTTTAACCACGAGGCTGCCCCACTGTCTGCTTTTATTGGTACAGTAAACTACGGTTATAACGAGCACGTTTATAACGAACTAACGGATATAAAGAACTAACTTTTTAGTACCGACTATTTGCTGTAGTTATACTGTATATATGCTTATAACCAATTACGGTTATAACGAACTAAAATAAGTAGTCCCTTTGAGTTCGTTATAAACGTAGTTTACTGTACGAACAAAACTAAACACTGAGCATCGAACTAAACTGAACATTAATATTGCCCGATCATTTTGAGGGGGAATGGCATTGTTCTAGATAATTTCGAACACTGTTTGAAACTAGTTTATGTGATACTATCTGCATTGATTCACACTTTCACACATATTAAATAATACGACCAAGGAAAAGTATTTTCAACATGGAAGCAAGTTTAATTCCGTGGCCATAGAAATTTATTTTCTCCTTAGGTGTATTAGTTCACGTGTTATACAATTGAAGATCGTTTTACGTGGAGTTTTCTGTTTCTTCCAGGTTGCAAGTAGGTCTGTCTTCCTTACAGCAGGCGTAATTCTGACTCTGTGTGGCATGGTGGGTAAATTCGGAGCTGTGGTCAGCCTCATTCCTACTCCAGTGATTGGTGGGGTGGCCGTTGTGACATTCGGAATGGTGGCAGCTGTCGGCCTATCTACTCTGCAGTTTGTGGATCTGTCCTCATCAAGGAACCTCATGGTGCTGGGTCTGGCGCTGATGTTGGGCATGATGCTGCCTCAGTGGGTAACAAACAACCCCAGAGCTATCGACACAGGTGGGTGGATACCTTTCGCCCTCTTTCAGTTCGTATTCCATTAATATCAGGAATGGAGACACAGGGAATGATTAACACTACCCTGTGTAGAACCAGGGTCAGTGGGTGTAAGGTTATCGTTTCAACCACTTCGCTACACAACAGACAAGGAAGGTTCAAAAGTGTTCATTCCTCGCAGTATACAGCTGAATGATATGTTAGGAAACCGAACTACTCCATGTAGATTTATTGATTTGATTCATATTTCATATGTATTGTGTAACCAATAATAACTTGAGATATCCTTGAAATAAGGTAAGTCATACTTCTCTTCAAAGTAATAGTGAACATCAAGAAAACCCTTGATTTGTCATCGAGTTGGTACAGGGCTTATTTAACTCATGTGTTGTATGATGTCTTTTGCACGGGTATTAGGCCAATATGTCAACCGAGGAAGCAGTCTGATGAAACCATGCATCAGTACTATCAACTTTTACTTGACTTTAAAAACCTGAAGACCATTCCTCTTTCGTACAGGATTCATAGCTCCATTAAGAAATATACATGAGATACATCTTGCTATGTCCAGCAAATGTACCACCAAATCCCAAAGATTAACCATAATCCTTAATACAAATAGGGAAGGACTTTCTGTATATTCACAGGATTCGCCAAACCTTTTGCAATCTCAGAAAGGAACCAAGTTCAATTCTATAAAAAATATTCGATTTTTCAACTTTGTACACCACTAACCCTTACGGATTAAGTAAAAACTTCAATCCTTTTTCCTTGGGGCATTTGTTACTAAGCGTGGTGACCATATGCATAGATATAGTCACATTTCTATCTTCAGAGGGGCGGTCTGGTGGCCCACTGTTAAAGCGTTTGCTCGTCACCCCGAAGACCCGGGTACGATTTCCGACATAGGTACAAAGTGTGAAGCCCATTGAGGTACAATCGAGCACGCTCTTTCTACGAAGAGAGCTTCATACGACTCAAAAGTTTTTTGATCAAGGTCACAAAGCCTCAGTAAAGCTTTCAAAACGTTTTACGGTAGAAACGTGGAGAACATTTCCAATTTTGACGCATCGATAACAAAAATGATGTCCGATGCAATTCCCAATTTTGACCACATGTTCCCGTGTTTTTAGGTGAACACTTGACTTGACTTGAATGTGTTTGAAGTGGGTGCCACCGGTGCGGCAGGATACGCTAGCCTTTTCGCGAACATCTAGTATCATCACTATTTGATAGTGATTCATAAACACATGCTCAAGATATAGTCGGAATCGTACAATCGACTCTGCTTCATGCAGAGATTTCTTATGACTTTCGAAAGGGTTTTGTCGATTGTATTAATTATCTATTTTCTAGGTCATGCTGAATCGACTCACATCTTGAACGTCCTTCTTGGATCTCCTATGTTGGTCGGCGGCGTTGTTGGGTGCATCCTCGACAACATAGCTCCAGGTAAACACCATCAAGAGTGAGTGAGTTGGGTTTAACGCCGCTTTGAACAGTATTCCAGTTATATCACGGCGTGTCAGCATAATGTGAGAGGAAAGCCCGAAGTGTTGGAGATCTCAGACATTTACCGCTTAGGTGAAACCCGCGAGCACGGGTATGGTGCTGACAAACCTAGAAACATAATCGGGGCGAACCGGGATTCTTACCCACAACCATAGGTTTCTGGCGTGTCCAAGGGACGCACTTCTGCACGGCGAATCATGGCGCCTTAGACGACTGGGCCACCCGTGCCCGCTCAAGAGTAGAGAATGCAACTTTCCCCTTTATACAAATCACAATGATCAGTGAATGTTTTGATATTAACTGGTATACTGCATACACGAGAATTGTTTTGGCCATTTTAAATATTGTTCAGCAACATGCATTGTTGTAGTCAACATAATATGTACCGACGTATGATTACCTCATCAAAGAAAATATATCTTTATTGATTACAAAGCAGGTTGAGATTTCCCTCCCGTTTGTTTGACTTTTGCATTTCGTACCGTAACCTATGCGATAAGATGGAATAGCAAGCCTGTGGGAGGGATCACTCTGGGCACACAGTATACTTCCAGGTACTGCAGAAAAGTTGGATATTCTGAAGTATTCCTGTAACTTTGTTTGTTTGTTTGTTGTTTAACGCCGCACTATAATATTCCAGCTATATGACGGCTGTCTGTAAATAATCGAGTCTGGACCAGACAATTCAGTGATTGACATCATGAGCATCGATCCACGCAATTGGGATACGATGACATGCCAAGTCAGCGAGCCTGACCCGATCCCGTTAGTCGCCTTTTACGACATGGGTTGCTGAAGACCTATTCTACCCCGAATCTTCACGGGTCTATTCCTGTATCTAAGCATTGTCTAACTTCCAAGAACTGCAGACAAGTGGGACATATTGAAGTAGAGTGTTTCTGTAACTAAGCATTGTCTTATTTGCAGGAACTATAAACAAAAGTATAGTAGAGTGTTCCTTGAACTACGCTTTCTCTTACTTCCGGGAACTAATGAAGAGAGTGGGTGCTCAAGTGGAGTTTACTTGTAACTAAGCTTTGTCTTACTTCCAGTAACTACAGAACAGGTGTATAGTAGAATGTTCCTATAACAACGCTTTCTCTGACTTCCTGGATGTACTGGTGAGAGTGGGTGCTCAAGTGGAGTGTTCTTGTAACTAAGCATGGTCTTACTTCCAGGAACTATAGAAGAGAGGGGGATGCTGAAGTGGAGGGAGGAAGGAGTCATTTGCAAGGAGGATACATCCATTTCATCTGGCGACACCTCCACGTACGATCTGACGTTCATCACACAGTACCTTCCTGCGGGACTCACGTGCAGCTGGCTCCCCGTGTCCCCGACCTACACCGGAGGATTCTGTTGCCGACGTGGGAGGAGACATCGACTGCACTGATCACTAGGTTGACATGACATGCATCTGACCGAAACGTTAACATCATACCAGTCTGCATCCCTACTAGTGAAGTCCTTGTGTGATGCCAAGTGTACTTCACTGGGGTAAGGTAGATCTATTTGGGACAGTGTGTGACTTTGCTGCATGTGTATCATCGTGCAAGAAGGTATGGATGGATGTCGCAAGATGCTGGTTAGCCCGGTCCAGACTAACTATTTGCAGGCCAGAGTGAAATAGCTGGACTACTGCTAAGGCCTGGAGCAACATTCATTCCATTATACTCTTTGCTGCCATACTCGAGTTATTAAGAACTCACATGGCTTTATAAGGATGTCGACGTATTCTGATGTGGCTGTAGTAAACATGTAGCTACATATTACTTGAACATAATGTCAGAAGCCGGATTAGATAAAATATTTACATGTAGAAAAGACCGCAGTAATCAGAATTTACACAAGATGTGTCGTTTATAATACTTCTGTTGCTTTGTTGTCATTCTTAATTTTTTAATGATGCTTATTATTTGTTCCTCTATATTCAAGATTTATGATTTAGTTTAAAGGAATAATGTTATTGATATAAAACTGTCATATATAATATAACGGATTTAAACAATATCATACTCAGGAAAACATAGTTTCATATAAGGGATTGGTGAACAGACAAATAAATATCTATATAACACCTCTCTCTTTTAAATAAATATATAATGTTAACGCCAGAGAATAACTAGAGTCAATAATCTGCCGAAAGAGATTCCATTTGGTGTAATGGCAAAATAGCGGTGATAATAATATCAACTGATCACTGAAAATCAATGATAACACCAGGTAATATGTAGTTACTGGTAAATAAATGGGAGTTTGAAATCAAATTAAGGAAGTATTTTTACAATATAAAGTAAATAATATAACTTTTTAGTGTATACAGCATACAAAAGTCAATAAGTTCACATTTGAAGAGCATGTTGTACAGAATGTCATGGTACGAGGTAATTCATATCGAATATTTTGTTAGATTCGTATATATTTTACTGAACATTTTCTTTCTAACTTTGCAACACTGATTGCTATTTTTCATGAAAACATAGCTGGTGCTTGTTCACAGCAATACTTCAAAGTCCGAGAGAATTATGTCTATTATTTTCACCTGTTGTAGTTCTTTTTGGTGTATACTATTCGGTGAATAAAGTCTATATTGAAAGTTTTTGTGCATTTTCTTTGATCAGTAAACAAATTCCACGGTACTGTGACATATGTCAAATTTTCCTATTTATTGCAAACTGCAAGCTTTCATGCGAGGATCGCTCATCATCCCTGATTCCCTGCCTAGCCCATCTGGGTAAATATATGCTCGTCAAAATAATTTAGGGAACACTGATATTTTGTAGCACTGTTCATTCGATTCCTTTTAAATTTGGTAAATGGCCTCCTGATCGGCGGCTAACGTACTGATATTGAAGACTACCCTTACTCAAGTGACTTCATGACCAGAACAAAGAATTTCAATCATAGTGGACTCGTCAAAGTTCATTTTGACCAGCACTCATTTTCATGGAATTGTTTGTTGTAATCTCCTCCTCACAGCTGCCGTAAAAATGGAGATCGTGCATTTTATCACTTATTATCACGAAGCACGAGCCACAAGGATTTTTTGTGCGAAATTTGGGTTGATAAAGGCAGGTCGCTATGAAACTGCGTCACTGTGTTCAACATGCCACAACGTCGACACCTCACGATTGAAGAACGAGCCAGAGCTATTGGGTGGCTAAATGAGAATGTTTCACAGCGGGAAGTTGCTCGAAGGTTGAATGTTCCAACAACACAGACAGTACGTGATAGACCAAGGTCATGACGCCCTCGTGTGACAACAGGAAGAGAAGACCGACACGTCGTTGTTGAAGCATTGAGGAGACGTGTTAGGGAGAACCACCCTCCACCTCAAGATCTGCGCCAGCTTGCTCAATGGCTGAGTTTGGAGTGGCATGCTATCCCACAGAACACACTACAGACATTAGTGACGTCCATGAGGCGTCATTGTGTTGCATGTGTGGCTGCTAGGGGCGGACACACTCGTTACTGAATTTTCTCTCATGGCCTGGATTTCCAATTTTGACCTCAGTGACATTATTGACATCAACACTTTTTATGAAATGTAGTGGAATATTCATGATTCTTTCTTGCTGTATACTCGGCCATTATTGAATTTACTACACATGTCTTCGTCTTCTGTTCCTTTTTTATTTTAAGTGCAAACATATCAGTGTTCTTCTTTTGAGTAGTATATATTATTGTCACTGTCTTTTGCTATCAACACTGTATTTTTGTATTTGATACTGACCACTGCCATCACATTATGTATTGCCATTGAATAGTGTACTACCACTCTATTGTGTACTGCCATTGTAATTGCTGTGCAGTAATTTATGTTGACTTGTAAACCAAGTTTTATTACTTTCCCGTGAAGAGATCACCCGTTTAATAAACATACAGCTTTATTACACATTGTGTAATACCAAAACGCGTGCTTATGTACTCTCGGAACACGTTTCACGAACAAATAATGAAAGCTCTCAACATCCCTTGGCGTATTCAACGACATTGTGTGTGGAGATGATAGATCACTGGGAGGAGCTTATGCACACACGATGACCCCAGCAACCTTGTTGCTAGGCTGACGTCACATGGCATTGTTTCGCCGATGGATCTTGCAACAAAATTCAACAAATTACGTCATCTTGTATTGTGACGTCATTGTAAACTTTGAGCTGCAAGGCCCCGTTCCACAAGGCGATCGTACTCTAGCGCAACGAGAGTCTTTAGTCTAAGTTAAATTATGTGAGTTGTGATAGCCTTAGCACTACGATAATTTTGTGGGACGAACGCCTGAATTCTAAAGGTGGACCATTGTATGATATTAAATTCATACGTTTCAACTTTTGACGTGTTTGAAGTATTATTCTGTTAAACTAAATTGGATTATCCATGGATCGTGTAGGTGTCAGCCTATTTACACTCAACAGTATAATTCTAAAAACATTATAAATGACAAGTAATAAATAAAATACTAAACTCGCTCTCGTGTAAAACCAATTTTATGAAACTCGTGAATAGTTGTGGTATCTGACTCGCTTTCGCTCGTCAGATACCAGAACTATTCACTCGTTTCATAAAATTGGTATTACACGGGAGCTCGTTTAGTATTCTATATAACTGAAATACATTAATTTTCTTGATTGTATACCACTTGTTTGTTGTTTGTTGGTTTCACACTAAGTTCTTTTACGTGCAGATTTCTGGGTAGACATAATTTCAATTTGGGAATCGACACGTAACAATATTATAACATATTCTGCATTTTCTGGAGGTGTTATCAACATATTCTGCACCTTATTATTTCTCGTATTCTGGATCATAGCATTCGCACCGTTAACAGTGCCTCCCCGGGCTTTATAGTCCTTGCCACTTTGAACAGTATCACGAAATATCGCGATGATTAATTAACGAAGATAGCTGCAAGTGTGCTGATACTTAAACAGTGAACATTACTCACAGTAATGACAAAAATATGATGATTGAGATTTGACCACGTGGTTAGAATCCGGGTAAGAATCGGCAGTCAGATAACTGCGAGGGGTTACATTTAGCAGTGAACTAGGTAAATAGCGCTTCAAATATCCTATCTGAACGATTGTTTCTTTCAGTTCGCACTGGTAATGCACGTACCCTGCACACGCTGTTAAATGTAGCCGCTCGCAGTCACCTCACTGCCGATCCTCAGTCGGACTGAAGCCACGAGATCAAATCTCAATGACGATGTTTTTAGCTAGCAAATGCATATTTCTTGGTTTCAGTGCATTAGATCACTTGTCCATTACAGGGGCGGTCGGGTAGCCCAGTGGTTAAAGCGTTAGCTCGTCACGCCGAAGACCCGGGTTCGATTCCCGACATGGGTAGAATGTGTGAAGCCCATTTCTGGTGTCCCCCGCCGTGACATTGCTGGAATATTGCCAAAAGCGGCGTAAAACAATACTCACTAAGTCACTCACTTGTCCATTACCTATGTGCGGTGCTATATAAAGACCTTACATTACATAGCACGAATAAGAGTACAGAGCAGTAAATACCCTCGGGTAATCTCATGCAAATACTGTTTGCTGCGTCTATCATTTTGTGAAGCATTTACGGCATTGAAATGATACCATATGTTAAGTACATTTGTTTGTAAGTACATCATTAATGCCAGAATGCTGTTAATATCAATGTTAACAGTTAAAGTATGAAACGCGTTACCTGGAACATTTCATCATACACAATTCGCTCTTTGTATAACCATATGTCTCCAATGTGAATTATCCACGTGTGTCTATCCCTGTTTACACTGATTGACAGAAATGCATTCATATCCTACGGCTTATATCCTTTGCATTCGAAAGAGTGCAAACAATGAATGTTTGGAATTAATTGTCATTTATGGTTATTATACATTACAGGATATGTCCGGAGGAAATAAATGACTATTATGCAGATTATCAAACCATTCAAATTCAACTTGTCATTTGACAGACAGGCAACAGTTTATTCAGTAGTTTAGGCATCAATGCCCCTGGTACAATGCAGATTGCAGATTCACATTGCTCACGCGATATACATCTTTGATTTAAATCAAGATACACATTTCTCATTTTAAAGACATGTTTTGAGATTACGGCAACAGCATGGATCATATTGGGATTTTTGTAGTTTAGCAGATGTGTCATTAACTGCGGGCTTTAAGAATACCTTTAACCAAGGGGAAAAATTATACCTAAAATGAGAATACTTTTCACACATAACAAAGACATTGTATTCATCCTCTAGTTCTCCGGATAAACAATCTGTACAAATTGAGTTCTTAATATCGCTGCTGTCTTTGAACCTGTACATTAACATAGCTCTGACTTACCATTTATCGTTAAAACAAGTTAAATATCTTTCATTTGGTACCAATGATTTCACTTTGCTGAAATTGCTGAGATAAAGTGATACCGAAATACTCTGATGCCACTGCTGCCAAAATATATCCTTCAGTCTCCGCTCAAATGAACTTAAAAATAAATGTGAATCTTCCGCATCCTAAGAAATCCATACATATTAAACGTCACTAACATATAATACATTTCTCCAATCTGAAACCCAAATATTTTTACCATTATCATCAAGTACCTTTAACATTTGGCAAACTTACCACCATATAAAAAACATTTATGATATAAAGTGTGAACGTTTCTTCAATTTCAGCATAATACTCAGCACGCAATACAAGAGTATTGGCATAATTATGCACTATTCCTTTCTGAATAGGTTATAAAGAGGCATGATGGCTTTCCTAGTCAGGACAGCTTATTGTTTACATGCCGTAGACCATGGGAATTTAAAGGGAACTGTAAGACCTAAATATTGATATTAATGAGTACACTCAAAGCTGACGAACCAAGAGACCACTTTCATGTTTCAACCATACCACCTTTTCTAAAATCTATAGCATTGGTTATATTACGATTATCTTGAAGACTCCATTTATAACACTGTAACAAATTTAACTACTTTACAAGCCAATATTTCATGTGTTACATATATCCGATGTTGGCAACTATTTTGCAGTTTTAGAGCCAGTTCATTTATGAAATATATAAACAACATCGGACTTAAAATACAGCCTTGTCGCACGCCGTTGATGCTGTACAGGAGTCCCTTCATTCATTTATTACCTCACTACATGCACTTACTGACGCATACATGTTCTATAAAAGAACAAACAATTTACCATGACATTTCTTAGTAATAAGTAAATACATATTCTTTTCCTATTAACAAAGTCAAAAGCTTTTTTAAAGTCCATAAATACACAATAAAAGCGACCTCTGCTTTTGCACAAATATTTAGAACAAAGAACTTGTCATCAAGAAAAGCATCAACAGTAGAGAAATTCGGCCGAATCCCTGCTTGAGACTTGGACAGTAAATCATTTACCCCACAACATTACTTACTTTATTCACAAGTTGACCCACATTCATACAATGAAATAATCACACTGATATTCCAAGATTCTGGAAAC